ATTATGTGGTATGGTGAAATAGGTTGATGATGAAAAGCTTAACAAAGTCTGTTGGTGTTTTTTTGTTTAGTTTCTTTATTTAATGCTGTCACACTTTGTTTTGTCATTTAACTAAGAGCTTTGGGTTTCTGTCCACCAAGACCTTAAAATGCTTGTAATTTGAAATTTCTGCAGAAAGTGGGTTTAACAGTCAAATGCAGAGCAAAATTAATGCTGCAAATATGAGGATCTAAAGTAGGTGTCTTTCAGAAATAAAGTTTCAGTACCTTGACTAGTTTAAACAGAGAAATAAAAACCCTTCAAAGATACATACCTGAGTTAAATAAAATGGCGTCAGTGGCTTGCTAGCCTCACGTTAACCATAAATTGTTATGTAAACAACATGTAACTGTGCAATGATGGGACCACTGTTTCAATTTGTGTTTGTTTTGTTTTTCCATGTTATCCCTCGTTGTTAAGCACCTTGTAAAATTTCTTCTGATAACAGAGCTATAACCCTAATGGAATAGCCAGGAATCAAATCTCCAATCTTCCAATTGGTAGAGGACTAATTGTTACCTCCTGAGCTAAGCTGCCAGAGATGAAATGTTGAAAATTTGGGAGGGGAGGGGGGCTAAAGTAAAATATAGGACTAAAATATAGATTTTCAGAAGCCTCAACCTGTAGTTGATAGTAAATATGACATGTGAGCCAAGAAGTGCTCACCCTTTAATTCTTTTCTGAGGCCGTCTCTCAAAAAAAAAGAAAAGAAACTGCCTTTGTGCAAAGGTTTAAAAAAAAATTCATACACTTATACACACATCTGCAATGTTAACTTTAATTCCTCAGCAATCAACAACTATTTCGGGAGAGGTTGGAAAGTTCCTCATCGTCAGTATTGTCAGTATGTGTAGTAGCATTAGAACATGAGATTGTTGCTGGCTGTCACTGTTTTAAGAATAGCTGCATTTAGTCTTGATCTAAATGATGTTAATCACTGAGCATTATGATCACTGGTTACCAATAAGACATCAGATTTGAATAAAACATAGTTGTGTGAAAGATCAGTTCTCATACCCATTCATACTCTTCCCTCTTCAGCACCAGAAGAAATAGGTGTAAGCCACATGACTGGATCTGTCTCACAACCTGTTAGATAATTGCAGAGAGATAATCATAGACACATTATAAACTTACTCTTTTTCTGTATGGCAGAGTCATCCATTAAAACAGTTTAAGCCTGTCCTAATAATGTTTTTATCAATTATTCCATTTTACTTCAGACTGAATTTCAAGGTAGACCCTACAATAATACATAAAGAGAAAAACCCAACAATCATATGACACCTTATGAGCAAGCACTTTGGTGACAGTGTGAAGGAAAAACTCCCTTTTAAGAAGGAAGAAACCTCCAGCAGAACCAGGCATAGAGAGGGGTGGCCATCACCCAACCGGTGAGAGAAGGAAGAAAGGATAGAAGACATGCTGTGGAAGACAGCCAGAGATTAATAACCTTGTGTTGCTATACTCAGGGGGTGGAGCAGGGTATCACCTAATTGGAAACTTGTTGGTTCAATTATTCGCTACACCAGTATGTGTCCAAAGTATCCTTGGGCACTGAACCCCTGGTTGCTCTCCGATGCATCATCGGAATGTGAATGCTAGATACTTTAAAAAGCACTTAGGTAGAAAGAGAAAAAAAACTGCATGAGCCGTGGGGCATGTTTTATACACGTATCTATCTACACATATCACTTATACCTAAGTGGTTTCTAAAGTATCTAGCATTCACATTCCCTTTACATCCACTCCCCAAAGCGTCTCAATTGGATTTAGATCAGGGGAACGTGCAAGATGGTCCAAAAGAGTGATGGTATTCTACTGGAAGAAGTCCCTTGTCCTGCAGGCATTGTGTACTGTATCATTGTCCTGTTGAAAAGCCCAGTTGTTACCACACAGATGAGAGCGCTCAGTCATGAGGGATGTTCTCTTCAACATAGCCAGCAGCTGTTTGACGCCCCTGCACCTCCTGAAGCTCCATTGTTCCACTGAAGGACAAAGCACCCCAGACCATTATGCTGCCCCCTCCACTGTGGTGCATAGAAAACATCTCTATCTGTTTGTCATGCCAGTAATGTTGGAAATCAGGACCATCAAGGTTAAATTTTTCTCATCAGAGAATGAAACTTTCTTCCACCTTTTAATGTACCATGTTTGGTGTAAAGTCCAAACGGTCAGTTCTGTGGCGTTCAAGGAGACAAGGCCTTTGAAGACGTTTTTTGTTTTTGAAGCCTTTCAGTCTCAGATGCCGTCTGATGGTTATGAGGCTGCAGTCGGCACCAGTACCAGCCTTAATTTGGGTCCAGGTCCAGTGTCTTGACGGACAGCCAATTGGATCCTCAAGCTCAGTGCTGGTGAAATTTTCTACTTGACATTTTTGTTCCATAACCCTCAGGATCATTTAAGAAATTCCAAACGACTGTCTTACAGCGTCCCACCTAAGCAGCGATGACGCACTGTAAGACACCCTGCTTCTGCAGTTCGACAACCCGGCCACGTTCAAAAAGGGAACGTTTTTTGGTTTTTTTTGCTTTTGCCATTGGAACTTCCTGACAGTGTGACTACCTGAGAATGGGACAATGAATCCACATTTTTGCACAGAATTGGCCTTTTAAAGGCATGTGGTCCTAAACTTTTGATCAGCTGTAAAACAGCCTGTTTCAATTTAATTCTTGTTTTCAATATATTGCATGGTCAAAAAATGTTTCTTCTTGTTGCATGCTGAAGCTCAACTTGGAACCTTGTTAAGATCCAACCTTGCAAAATATGATTTTTTGCCATTTTTCAAGTGATCTTAAACTTTTGATTGGGATTAACTAATATTGACCTCTTACATACCCATATGGAAAAGATATATATACATCTTATAAAGTTTGTGTCTGTCTTGTGTGAAACTTATATGAAAAGCATACAAGAGTGAAAACAGATATAAGGTAACTTGAAAAATTATATAAATGAAACTTGTATGTTTTGGATGCTTACTAAAACAATATATGAAAGTAATGAGAAAGTGGCCACTTTCATGAGTAAATCATATAAGCCTTATATGATTCACTATATGAAGTAGGCCACATCTTATGCAAGTCTTTTACAAGTTTTTACTATTTCTTTTCCATATGGGATAGTATGTGACAATGTCAAACAATGTCAAATAATATAGAATTTATCACATTCTAAAGGATGGAAAGTCAAGAAAAAAATGTAATTGCAGTACAGCAAGTATGCACTGTAAGAAAGGACAAGCTATTTTGCAGAATGTCTGTTGTTTTAAAAAATGCAACACACAGCGGAAAATCCTCACCATGAAACCATCCTTCCATTTTCTTGAAAGCAAAATTATGGTTTCAGCCACTCATAACCTTATCTAGCCAGGCTCTTTGCCTTTCTCAGCTGGTACGAGGCAAGGAGGTCGTCAATACTCAGGTTTCACATCTAAACAGTTGGACAATTCAGAATCACTAACGATACTAAAATCCATGCCTTTGGCAGAAGGAGAGCATGCTAACTCTACAGAAGGCCCCTAGGAGGCTACAAACACCTGCTTGCTGTGAGTAAACATTGCTTGCTTTGAGTAACACAACTAACCACCATTGTACCCACTATCATATTGCACAAATTCTAGATACTAACCCTGCTAAAATCCATGTTGACCACATATTCCTCATTCACCTCCAGTACTCGATCTCCATCCTTGAGGCCACTGTGCTCTGCAGGACTCCATGGATCCAGATCTGTGATCTCAAAACCCTGGCTGTACATACACAGATGAAAGCCAAAGCTTTGGCCCTCTGAACGCTTCAGGTGGCACAGTCTCGGCACCACGCTTGGATCTGGCTTTGCAAACACAGGAAAAAAATTAACAACTAGTAGGAAGCGGGAGGGTATTATGAAATGTTTTGTTTGTAAAGATGTGTACATCTCACCAGGATCATCAGTCATGACCAGAGCTGGGTTGTCAATCCCTTCCTTTGGATTAAAGGTAAAACTGATGTAAGGAGATATTAGAGTCAATTTAAAACTCCAATTTTAAAAGCATACGATACAGTTTCATATAAAAAACTAGCACAGAGAAGGCCTGTTTACAGGAGAACATGCACCTTTTACAGAAGGTATATATGCATTTTCTTATGTTGACTATTTAACATAAGAGACACATCTAGTTACACTGATTAACAACAAGATTTATTATGTATAATATTCCTGTTCACTCCCAATTATAATATTGCTATACCAAATTGGACAATTCTGCATTGAAGTCCAATAGTGTCACCCATTGCAATGGTTAATGGACTGGTTCTTATATACAGCTATTCTAATCTACCTGAGCAGTCAAAGAGCTTTATACAACTTGCCTCATTCACCCAAACAGTTTATTATGCTTTTCCTACATAAGTGTTTTCTATCTAACATTCACACACTTGCGTGGGAGAACAACTTGGAGCTAGTGTAGCAACCCAGTGATATTCAGCATGCTGGAGCAGCCAGGGATCAAACCATCAACCTTCTGATCAGTAGATGACGTGCTCTATTTCCTGAGCTACAGCCACCCTTCACAGTCAATCTTTACATAGAGAAAGTGAAAAGTGAATCTTTGGGCTCCTCAGAGGAACAAAACAAAATCACTTCAATTGATTTCAATTCCATTTTGTTTGTGTTTCTCCAAATCGCAACAACAACCACCTAACGGTGCTTGAACCCAGTAGAAAAAGGTATCCTTTGAATATAGGTTACCACTCCTGGACTGTGCTGAGGAGAACCCCAGCCTCAGCATTCAAGTTTACCAAAAACCCACAGACACAGCTCAGTAGTCTTTGACTCACACCAAACACTACAACACAAACTTGGGGTGGTCAGGACTCTAACGCACCAACAGAGAACATTCCCTCAAAGGCAGAAGAAATAAATGAGGAAAGCACTTAACACATGGCACAACAAGACAAAACTCAGCTGAAAGGAGAAAGGCCAATCCTTTGAGGATGCCAGTGTTTATATTTTGAACACTGGCAGAGAAGACAGATGGTTTGAAAGCAGTAAAGGAGTCTATCTATGTCCATGATGAATGACCAACATCGAACACCAGTGGTGGCTTACAACACTAGCTGTCAGCCAACTACAATGTAATCTTGACATCACTGCCCTGTCACTTCAATCCACACCTTACCTCACGTGATCTTGATGGCTCACATAATGGGGCACTGGGGCAATGTTTCACAGATGGTAATCCATGATTTATTTTACACACTGGCTCATGTCATGTGATAATTTGCATATTAACCCTCAGAACCACCTCCAATGAGACATCTCCCAATGGAGCTTAAATACATGGGACTATTCATCAGTTGTTTTGTGACTAGAGATGGCTCTGACAAAATATCTTGAAAATGTTTTTAGACATTTTAGGGTAAGACTGAGGATGATATGAAAAAATCTGAAATGTTTAAGTTTTATTACGCACTCACACACATTAACTCTACATGACGGTAAAATGAAAATAAAATATTACCTTTGGTTATTACTGCGTTAAGTACTGTGTTTAATAATGGACTGTTGAAGTTTAACAGCAGCAACATTATTTATTCCAAATTTTATTTTAGTGTTACTGTCCATTGACTTGTGGAGAGAGATAGAAACACATTGTTACTAAATAATCATATAAGCTCAAGAAGGTGTCCGCCCTGTTACTCTTATAGTATAATACTCATAGTAAAATTACAGTAATGGTAACTCTTTGAACCCATAACAGCATGTTAAGAAGTAATGGCAAAAAAGGAATTTTGCTGAGGAGAACTCACTCGCTCACATTCACTTTTTTTTAGTTTAACAACTCTTGCCTCCACTAACATAGGAGGGGCCAGCCAGATACCAGTGGGGGGGATAGAGATGTTTTGGCTTCACTTGACTCAGGAGGTAGAGCGTCTACTAGTTGGAAGGTTAGTGCTTCAATCCCTGGCTGCTCAATTCACACGTTAGGCAGAAGAAGCATAGAAAAAGTCCTCAGGTGTTGTATAAAAACGAGTCAAAGTACTGCTATTCAAGAGACAGTCTATTTATCATTACCATTTGACAAGCTTTAGTCTCAGCAGGTGGACTAGTATTTATTTAGAGACAAATAGACAAATTTATTTAATTGCTGCATGATATTAAGGGTTTTCTGAATTGCAACAAGCAATCAAGTTGGAGACAAAAATCAGAAATAATGTATTTATTTAAGCACAACCTACAACAACATTTTGGAAAAAAAAGGCCGCTCATGTTCATCGCAAGGCATAAAAGATTCTAGTGGGTCAAAAGGAGAACTTACTGTGGATTTCTGTGCATTCTGGCCACCTGAAGGAGAAACAGTGACACAACATGTAGATACATCTGTCTTAGTTTGTGGATATAATGAATTCTCATTATATTATACACTTTTCAGGACAACCATGGCAAGCAGTACTTACCTTGTCATATCTAAAAACAGACATAAATAAAGACTTACCAAAGTCCCTCCTTTCATAGCATACATTGCATTACATTACATTACCGCCATCCTGTGGTCACACTTTGCTATTGTTGCTGTTTCAATCTGACTGGTGACTGTAGCTCTGTTATATGAGTGTGCCTGTCACCTGTTAACATTGACTGGAGCTGATTAAGCTGAAGGGCCAGCTGCTTTTTTTCTGGTGGTTTCAACATGTGCATTGTGAAAACCTCTGTCCTTTCACAGTAAACTGGTAGAAGTTGGTTTCAGTTGGTTGGTAAAAGTAGAATGGGAGGCAGACACTTCAGCTTTCAGGCCTCTTTTCTGTTGAACCAGCTCCCAATTTGGTTTCGGGAGGCAGACACCCTCTCTACTTTGATGATTAGACTTAAAACTTATGATAAAGCTTTGATACTGATAAATATAGTTTATCAATATTTGATGTTGATAAATAGAGTTCCCATTTTTGCTTGCTCATTGGGGTCATCTGATTGCTAAAAATTTCTCTTTATTAGTGTAAAACTTGAATTGAATTGAATCACAAAAAGAAAAAGAAAAAACACTCAGGCACTGGGAGAGCATGTAGTGCCACTCAAAAAAAAAAAAAAGAAAAAAAAAAGAAGCCCCAACTAGGAACCTTCAAGCAGCAGCACTAACCACTCCACCACCATGGCTATTCTGGCTGTATGAGGTGGCCAAACAAGGCCACACATTATATTATTTATGGTTTATTTTTTTCATCTATCACCTGCTATAGAAAGGATAACACAGCTTAACTTATCTTAACTCTTTTTTTATCACTAATAAAAACCCATCATCAATCATTATAAAGTTAGATTCATGATAATTAGTGAATACAATTTTTGTCTACCCTCTCCTGTCTGCTCGTTTTGACATGTACATGCTGTACTTGTTTTGCCACTGCATAGCTGGAAAACTGCATAGTTTCAACTGCATAGAAGCAAAATTTAATTCAAAAAGGAAAAAATGCAATATATGTCAGTTGTGTCCGTTGCATTGTGGCATATGAAAGCATAATAAACTAATTTTTAATACAAATGCAAGTTATTTCTCACATAAACATTGATTAAGCCAGTCACTGATTCTGGATATAGCATAAAGCGTGAAGGTCGGAATGTTGCTTGAACCCTTAAAACATTAACTTTTTTAATGTGCAAATGAGTACATTCTCATTCTCCGTTCTCTTTAATGCAATTCATTCATTATGTTTAAAGAAAGGGTAGTGGAAATGACCCCCCAGAAACATGGTCTTTTGTGTCAATATTTCACAATACTCTTCAAATCCAACTTTGTGTGTGTAGGTGTGTGCACACACATGCGTGTGAGTGTGTGCTCACACACAAAAATATCCTGCCTGTGGATTTATTTTTTTCAAATAGTGAAAGGCAATGTTTAACCAGGAAGAACATAGCTGAAGTTAGTGTGTGGTTTTATATTGACAGCAATATATACCATAGCATTTTGAAAAACACAATCCACCACAATGATAATTATGCATAAAACACTTACCGTAAAAAACAAAACAAAAGTAAACTGGCTTACCATCACTGCTATGACATTTCACACAGAGGAATTATGCCGTAACTAAGGAGTGCATGTTTACACATTTGAATATTCAAATCACGAACAGTCATATGTTTGAGAAGCAGAAAATAAACCCTACCTTTTAAGGACCTCATGAAGTTCTGTGTGCTTGGCATTTATATCTGCTCAGACTAAGGCACTGTGGATGGACAAGGTTCACAACAGACAGATAATAAAAACCTAAGATACTGACTGCTTTCTGCTTAGCCATAATGGTTAAACATTTACTCCATGACACGCCTCAAGAGGTCTGTGTGCAGAGTGTGATGCATTGCAATGGAAAAGACAACATAATGCACCTTTACCACTCTGTGGCACTGCTGTTCACTGTGGAGGACAAAATCAAAAAAATAACTCAAACCAAATAAATAAATTTGATTATTCCAAAGCAATACATCCTGCAACATGTTTTCAAATAAATTCTTGATTATCATTATATTTTATTATATAAAATATATTTTATTATATATTTTATTTTATTTAAAAAAAACACCCAGCACGCCCCTGCGGGCGGTTTATCCTTCAAGCTCGGGTCCTCTACCAGAGGCCT